ATTAGACCAGGTCCCTCAATAGTCTCAGAATGAAATGTACTGTCAATCAGAGCATAAACTACTTATTCTCTCAACTAACAAGTGCTTTAAGGGCCAGGATGTAGCCTCCTGGGTGGTGGTTCTAGACCTTTGAAATCACTGGATCAGTAGGAAACATCCTTGAACCCTGGATTCTCCAGAGACCAATTAAATCAGAATTGCTGCATTGGAGCTTGAGTGTTGAGAGCCACAGTTTAGTGGCCTGGCATTTTTGCCAGAGGGAATGGTTGAAAGGTGACCCTGCTCCGGGATTAGGGCGGCTCCGGGATTAGGGCGGATCCTGCTGCCTCGGGCACCTGCTACTTTGGAGTTCCTGTGAGTTCTCCAGGGGTTCTGAGAGAATTGGCACATGGAGCCTGGTGGAGGGAGTGTGTGTTCCCGGGAAGTGTGTGTAGAGTGCCAGTGAGAGTTCAGGAATAAAGAGTTGCTGTTTGAACCTACAAGGCTGTGTGGCGGCTCCGTTATTTTGTGCCCAGCCAGACTGCAGCACTTGGGCATTTTACAAATGATAATTTTTTTCTACTCAAGGAATAAACTCAATTCTGGTTGAATAAGAGTTTTATGAATTAAACTTCAGAAATATTTATCCTGAGTTTCTTCATTTATATGTTGTAAAATTAGTGCTTCAAACTCTTGTAAATTTGATATTATCTAAGTGAATAAAAAATGTCTATTAAAACCTAATCAATGTTAACTTGTTAAAAAAATACTCTGTAACCTAGGGCAGGGTGTGGAACTCAGTGGTAGAGTTCTTGCTTAACAGATAAGAGGCCTGAGTTTGATCCCCAGCACCCTGCAAATGAAACAAACAAGTCTCTGCATATGTGCAGTCCCTGATTAGATCTGCAGCAATGCAAACATAACAAAACAAAATAAACTCCAAGACCTCTACTATCTAAAGTGCTTTTAAATCAATGAAAAGTTGTAATTTAAGAATTAGAAAATTTAATTGCACAATTTAATAGGTCATTTAATAATATCTCTCAATCACTTGAAAAATAGTTGCAACTTGATGACAGGATTTTATGGGTAATGGAACCCAGAGCTTTGAGCCTGCTGGGCAAGTGCTCTACCATTGAACTATATCCACAGCCCAACAGGACTTTAGATGAAGAACAAATGGCCAAAAATATGGAAGAGCTGACAATCAGGAAACAACTCAGTGATCAGGTCCCTCACCAAGAGTTCATATACATTCATCTTTCAGATGAAGCAGTATTTAGCAAATACATTGAGCTGCATGGGTGCTGTGACAGCTATAAGACAATATGTTCTCCATAACCATTTACATATTTATATACCTCTTTCTCTCCCTCTCTTTCCTTCTTTTGGAGTTTGAAATTTCCTGATTTTATAATTGGTACATATTATAAAACTGAACTTATAAATACATGAGCTATTAAAAAAATTTTCAAGAAATTTAGTTTAAAGATCTACTAGGCATTTTCTTTGTTTGTGGTTCTGGAGCTTGACAAGGGCTTTACCACTGAACTACAATCCCTGTCCTTTTTTAAATTTTGAGACAAGGTTTTGCTAAGTTGCCTAGGCTGGCCTCAAACTTGCAATCCTACTGCTTCAGCTTCCCCAATAGCTGGGATTAAAGGCATATACCAGCATGTCCTTCTCAATAGTTTTTTCTTTCAAATTAATAATTCATGAATTGAGAAGGTGTTCCAATGAGCTGAGCAGGAGAGAAAAACAAAAAAAATGGATTGGTCACTTCAAAGTTATTCCATCACCTGAAGAATACTGGAGGCCTGGTATTGAGATCAAGGTTCCCCGTAAGGAAACTTCTCAGGATTAACTTTATAGACAGAATGAACAGATTAAGTCTAGAAAGTCATAAGACAAGTATTGTTGCAGCTATGTAAAATAATAAAGACAAAAATAAACTACAAAAATATATTTAGGCCAGCTACACAGGAGACTGAAGCAGAAAGATCCCAAGTCTGAAGTTGGCCTGGGCACACAGCAAGATGCTATCTCAACAAACAAACAAAAAACTACAAGGTAGTATAGTTGGATTAAAGGTTAGGTCTTCTAAATGCCTTTCAAATTTCCTGGGAAGTTGTTTTGCTTTTATAATAAATTAGGAAAACATCATGGTAAAGTTGAAACCATCTAATTTACTATAATTTAATACCATTTAATTACAAATGCTATTCTGGTTATTCCTAAAATTACAATAGTTTCTAACTATATTTCAGCTATCTATTTTAAGGAAAAAGGGAAATTTAGACATTTGAAATTCTGAATATGACTGATAAGAAGTATAATGAGATTAAAACTAAAAATGATTTAAAAAATTGGAAGTTCTACACCCCCAAATATATGATATACATCAAAGTGTTTTTATTTTGTTTTAGGAAGAGTTACCTCGTTTTAAATGGCATATTACTGTTTTAGACTCTTGTTGAGATCTCTGTTTTGGAACTGCTTGCAGAGTTTGGCATTTATTCTTTTTAATATACAGTTATATAACTACACTTTCTAAAGGGTTTTAGCTTCAAGAAACAACCAGAAATTATGAAAATTCCCTGCATGATTTACAACCTGGCTCTTACTGAATAATAATAATAAAGATGTTCTAAAAATTTGTATTTTCTGAAAAGTCTTACACAGAACAAGAGAATGAAATCTTTGGCACTCACCAGATATGCATATTAATTTAACCATTAATCTATAACATTCAAGTGCCTTCTCTATCAGTGTGAGATGTCAGACTTTAAAATATACCATTTTACTCTCCTCTCCCTACTAATCTATTTTTCCCACTTATTTTTGTGGACTTTCAATGTCTTTAGATTTTTTCTGAGCTTTCTATAGATGCTCCTTGACTTACAATGATATTATTCTTGATAAATCTATCATGAGTTAAAAATGCATTTAATACATTTAACCTACTGACATCATACTTTAGCCTAACCTCCTTAAACATGCTCAGACCCTTACATTTGCCTATAGTTGGGCAAAATGACCTAACATAAAGCCTATTTTATAATAAAGCATTGAATATCTCATATAACTTATTGAATACCTTATGGAAAGTGAAAAACAAAACCAGAATGATTACACGGATACAGATGATATAGCAGGCATAGACATAGACTGGCATTTTGTAGATTTGATGGGATGCAAAACCACAAAACGCAATATCCAGAAAAATACAGTATACGTAGAGTACTGGTAGTTTCCACTGGTGATCCTGTGGCTGACTGGGATGTGGCTCACTGCCACTGCGCACCACTGAGAGAGTACTGGACTGCATTATTGCCAGCCTAGGAAAAGACCAAAGTTCAACATTTGAAGTACAATTTCTACAGATACTTATGGTAAGTTGAACCACAGTAAGTTGAACCTCTCCAAGTCACATGTCTGTACTCAAGTACCAACATGCTTTCTGGAGCCCTCAACCTGGCAAATTCAACTCTTTGACTCTTCCCTCAAACTTGCTTTTCTCCTACACTCCTCAGTTCAATATGACTTCTATATTTCCTTGTTACCCAAGCTAGAAACCTGGGCATCTTCCAACCCTTCCCCATCCGTCTTCCCTCCATCCTCACTGTCATTGCTGCATTTACCACTTTTATCCTAGACAACTGCAACAGATTCCTTCCTAAGTGGTTGAATCTTGGCCCACCTTACATCCACTGCCTTCTGAAAAAACGTTTACTTTCTTTGGGATAAATTCAAAGCCCTTTATACATGGCATTACCAGGTCCTCTGAGATCTAACTATTGGGGTCTCCTCACTTCTGAGACCACAAACTAAGCTCTATGCTTTTTCTAAGGTCCCTAGAAATTGTGCACTTAAGAGACTCCCAGGCTGTGTGTAACCCATTTTTTTCTGACTAAATCATACTCAACCTCCACCCTCCACCTTCAACTTGGAAACCATTACCCTCAGAGAACCTTTTACATATGCAAGTCAGGATCAGGCAGTCCTGCCATATAATCCCTAGGTTAATACCACAGTATCTGTTTCACTGCATTCTCCTCAACTTTGGTTCTTTGGTTCCCTCCACACTTGATTATGAGCTTCTCTGGGCAGAACTGAGCCCTGTTTGTCCACATAAACACGTAGATGGCTCACATGGAAGGCACCAAGCAAGTATTCTTGAATAAATGAATGACAGTGTAGAAGAAAACAGGAGAGAACAAACTTAAGTGGTTATGATTCCCACCTGCCACAAAATATCCTAATATATCTAATTACATAAAAGTAGTCGATACATTATAATACTTCCTTCATATACAATCAAGTAGGTATTTTACTTATGAGGATACTGGCGGGAGTCAAATGTCTGATGTACTGGGTGACCTTAGTCTGAGACATCATTTCTTGCCTGGACAACTATAACAGCTGTAATCCAGCGGCCCACCAGTCTTCTCTATTGAGGAGCCAGTGGTCTTTTCAAACATAAATAAGAAACTGTCAAAGCAAACAAGGTGCTGCAAGATCTACAGCCTGCCCCACACCTTCTAATCTTATCAATGCTCTCCCCCTACCCTTTATTCTCTGCTTCAGCTACATGGATTTTTTTTCTTCAGTTCCTGTAAACAGCAAAGCTTATTCCAGCATCAACAGCTTTGTACTTCTGATTCACTCTACCTGCAAATTTCTTCCTCTCCAACCGATATGGCTAGCTCTTTGTCATTCAGACTGCTGCTCAAATGTCACTCTAAGACCCTTCCTGACTACCTAAAACAACCCATCACGTTCTCGCAAATTCGATCCTCTTATTTTGCTTTTAGTATAGACTGTCCCTGATCATCCTGTATTAGTCTCCCTTGATGAAATGAAAACACAAGTGATTGCCTTTCTCTTGTCTTCTGTTGTCTCCCCAAGACTGGAACAGTGCTTGGCCAGTAAATACTAGCGAAATGAATTAACGCATTTAATAAATACGTCTTCATATGCCCATGTTACATGTTTCCCACTCTCCCGTTACCTTCACTCACAGGAAACAGTGGACCAGAGGATCATTATCCTTTCAGGAAAGCCCATGAGCCAGCATCGCGGTTCCAAAGACAATGCTATCTTGCAGCCTCCGGGAGGCATCTCCAGCTTGGTAGCTCACCGGGTCTCTGAGACCGACAGATGCACCAAAGATTGGGCACTGGAAGCGCTGAGGAGAGGCGGCGGGTCAGGGCCTCTCCCTCCTCACTTTGTGGAGACTGCTGCCTCCCCAGCTCCGGTACCAGACCCTCACTCTGCTGTACACACGTATCTCCTGTCGCTCAGTTCAACGACCGCTTGGGGTTACCTGTCCCGGAGCTGCCTCAGGCCTCTCGGCCTTCGCAACGCCATTCAAGTTCACCTCTGTTCTTTCAGGGCCACCGTAGTTCACGGAATGTATACGCTAATCCACTCCTCCCGCATGCGCACAGCCACCATTCGGTGTACAGTGTCTCTTAGCAACCACTTCGAGTCCCCCTGCCAGGGGCGGAGCCTTGGAAGCCTCCGCGGGGAAGCCGAGGGGAAGTGAGTGAGACCAATCAGAGACGAGTCTTAGCTCCGATCGACACGCCTCCCCTAACTGTCGCGAATCCGCAAGCAGCTTTACGGCAGATAGGGGGTGGGGGCTGCTGGGGAAAGGAGGGGAGAAGGAAGCAACCAACCAACCAAGTCGCCCCCACCCCCCACCCCCCTCCCACCCCGGACCTGGTTTACGGCTCGGGGCTCAGGCTCTAGTGCGGCCGCTGATTGGCTACTGAAGGATTGGTCCCATCCCAGTGACCCCAAAGTGCTGGAGGGAGGGGGCGGGGGTGGCCCAGTGCAAAGTGCATCCCGAAAGCCCCCTGTCCGGAGACCCGGCTGCTGGCACTTCGGACTCTGTACGACCTAGGACCTCGCTGTCCCTAGACCTCCTGAGTCCCTCCGTAGCTGGAAGCCTCTGGCCCGGAGCGCGACAGCCCCCCTGCTCTGAGCCCCTGGACCGGGGCTGTCCCCCCCAATCCCCGAACCGGGACTTCCTCCCTGCACCCCTGTCCCGAAGCTGCCCGGAGGCCAGGACAGCCACCCCTACCCTACTCGGCTATCTGGATGCTCTCCGGGCCAGGGCCGTGAGGCACCCAGGAGAATCGGGAACACCCGTGTCCGGCCCTGCCTGGGGTGTTTCTTCAATGGAGAAGTTGGTGAGTGTGGAGGAGGCTGAAAGAAGGAAGAGAAGCAGCAGCTGAGAAAACAGGTAAAGTCAGTTACCTCCTCCGAAGGGAAGGGGGCTACCTAGAGGTCTGGGAAGAAGGAAAAATCACTGTTTCTGCCTGCCTGCCCTTTGCCACTTTCTAGCTTTTTCTTTTGCTCCCTCTTTCTTAGAACCCTCTTCTCTTCGCTCCTGGGGCACTGCATCACTCACTGGTTTCCGTTTTCCAGGTGTGAACTGACCCCGGAGGACACTCAAGAGCAGGAAGGAGGTCTGTCCACTCTCTAGAGAAGCAGCAGGCAGAGTACCTCTGACCAGCATCTTCCATAAAGGTAATGAGCCAGACCTCCCCTCCCCCATTGTTTATTCCTGGCCCCTACCTCATTAGGCAGTGCATTATTTTCAGGCGGTTGCTTGGGGATGCATCCTTTCCTAGACCCCCGTTTCCTAGCAAAAACAAAAACACTGCAGGGCCTGATCCTTAACATTTTAATAACTTCTCTACTCCAGAAACGTATTTTCCTTTTCCTCTCCGTTCAGTGAGTTTCCATGTTTTGCATTATCTTTTGATACACTGTGCCATTTGCTCTGAGGCTTTGAGACCTTTTTGTAGCTCTCCCACCTTCCTTACTCTCATAGGAGTTCTTCAATTTCATGTTAATTGCTTGTTAATTCTGAAGACTCTGCTTTTTAATTAAACCACAATTTACTTACCCCCACCCCCTTTGCTACTTCTGTCACCTTTTCTGTACCTCTGTCAGAAAATCTTTTCATTACCTCACCTGAAAGTCTGGTAGGGGAGGGTAAACTATTGGCTTGAAATTTGTTAAGCTTCAAAAATACTCTGATTTTTTTTTTCAATAGTAAAAAGTGGATATATTTACTTTTAAAGTGTGAATAGAATGAAAACAGTATTAGCTCCTGAAGCATTTACATGTGATTAACTCTAGGTTTTCCCACATTTGTGTATGACAAATATGGATAGACACCAAAATTTTTACAAAGAGATATTTGTTACATCACAGATGTTTTAGACAAACAAAAATTTACACAATGTTTTGTTAACAAACATTTTACAGTCAGGAATACAAAAATAAAGGATATTTTGATGTGTTTAGATATCTGGGGCTTAATTTTGGCCCTCTTCATAAATCAGTTTTCTCATTTCAAAACCCTTACAGGGAATTTGCTAGATCAAAATTTAAGCATCTAATTCATGTAGTCACATTTCTGCTGCCTATTTTGATGCTGCCTCTGAAAATGCATTAAAGGTAAGTTTAGGACATGAATATAATTCCTAAAGAGAGCATATGAGCACAGAAATTATATAAAGGCTAATTCAGAAATCAGCCAAGTGAATGACTTTTCTAGCATCTGCTAGCAAGGGTATAAAGTGACTTGTTAACCTCAGGTTTTTTTTTTTTTTTTTTTTTTTTTTTAAATATTTCAGATTGTGTAAGGATTTTTTGGGTGAAAAAGCACTTAAAATAATAGATGATTTTTTTTTACTTTGTTCCACTGGAATTTCTGCTTTCCATATGATTCAACTCATTCTCCAGATATAACTAAAGATACTTTTAAGGAATTTGGATATTCTTGAAATCTGGAACTGGATGTCAAGAGTATTTTCTGAATACAATTAGAAATAGCATGTACCAGTGACTGTTCTATGGTGAAAGTTTAGGTAGACCTTTATATATGTATGTAGGAATCAAGGCTAATTGATCATTTCACTAAAAGCTAGGCATAAAGCTATAAAGTTAAATGCTGCTTTTTATTATTTAAATATGGAAGGAACTGGAGATACCTAATGATTACTTTAGAATCTAAAAAAAAAAAAAAAAGCTAAATATTTGAGATATGATTTAAAGATTCATATGAAGTATATATTTTCTATTTAACCCTTCTTGGTGAAATATTTTTTCTGCTTTGGATTTAATCCTAGTGAGTTTTCATTTCTGAGGGCTTTCTCCATTACCTGAGATGGTAAGAGAGGGGAAGTCTGTAACCTGTCAAAAACTTATGAAAAGAGGGCATTGCTTTCCCCATGTTTCCCACCAGTTCATTCTATTGCTTAAATAATATCATGGATCTGCTCAGCTTTTAATCATTTTTCTAAGATTAGAGAATATGATTAGCATGATGGAGAGTATTTGATCTAGGTTATGCCAGATATTTAATTTGGGTATTTATTAGCAACATGGCCACTTAGGTCATTTATATTTTTTTTCAGTCTGGCTGCCAACTTTATGTTCATTCCCTTTGCCAGACACATCATTTTGAAAACAAACTCATCTGATTTATTTGGTCACCAAATAATACATTTATAATCACATAGAAGAGAATAATTGATTTTAATTGAAGCTATTCAGTGATGCCTCTTGAAAATACTATGGATTATACATTGACAATTATTTATTTTGTTCATATTTAACTTTGGTGACTTAGAGGCATATGCTTTCTAAAAATCCTAAAGTCAGTTAAATTTTATGACTACTATTTGACTTTCAGCTTCTCATTTCATTCTCAAGTGAAAGCAGTCCACAGTATAACACTTGTCTCCTTTCTTGAAGACTTTCTAGGCACTGACATGTGAGGCTGCAAAGATTGTATTGGCATACATGGGTTAATAGAATAAGGTAGCATCATTTTTAATACTTGTGATTTAAGCTTTGAGTTGAGTTGGATAAGTGAACTTTAAAATTCCTTTATTGCCTCATCTGCACTACGTGAAAAGTATTGGGTTTTCTGCTGAAAATTAAGTGAATCATAGATACATTGCACATGATGATAAGTCCCTGTGTTATTCACAGGCCCAGTAATTTGGAGGAACTATGAACGCCCTTATATTTGTTTAGGAACACAAACACAGTGCTATGTTGAGTGATTTTAAAATAATACCTCCACTTTTTGTGGGGTTCCAGGCTCTTAATCACTAAGTAGAGCTCATTAACATGCATTTCAGCTAGGTTGTATACTTTGATTGGGCCTTGGAGTGTTTCTGCATCCATCTTTCCTCTTAGGTCTTATGAGCCACTGGTAGAATATTTTTCCCCCTTAGAGCCAAAATCCTTGAAGTTGTTGATTTTATTTCCTTATAGCGTCTATCTTTGCTTACTCTGCAAGGAAATGCTTATTTCTTTTTTTGAGTAGCAAGCTGTTAGCTTGTTTCTAGTTTGTGTGAAATCATGAAGACAGTTCTAATTTGTATCACTTAATCAAAAAATGTGTGAACTTTTAGTGAAAATAATATGCAAAAAGCCACTGAGGTCTAGTCATTTATACCAAAGGAAATTAGAGAAATATGGTCAAACTTTATGAAGATTTTATAATTTTGTAGAGGTTTTTTAAAATATGTTTAGTTTTGTGGGTATTTTATATTTCACTATCATATCACATATTTTCTTTTAAATATGTGAAGCAAGAAGTTTTGGTTTTACTAAATGAAATTCACTTGACATCTATATGGAAATTAACCAGTAATTTATCTTGATTTCTGAACTTGTAATTTCTAATATGATTAAACAATATAAAACCTTGGGAACCCAAGTTTGTTTTCTTTTGACCCCATGTAGAGAGGAAAAGATGAGTTAGCAAAATTTAAACACAGTGTTAACTTTGAACAATAAGACTGCATATAAAAGTGATACATATTATGGAAATGGTTCACTTTGATACATACTTCTACAGTATTCAGCATTTGTATACTTTTTGCTTTATTCTGACTTAGAATGGAATTTCTAAAGATTGTATCCTTAGAGGATCATTAGTTCCTGAGTCCAAGTCATCAAGATAGTCTTATACTGAATTATGTTATTTTAAAAATTGTCTCTTTTGCCATATTCCTTTTTTTGATAGGTGACTTCCCTGAGCTTTCAGATTTTTAAACAGGTACTCCTTGAGGGGAAATAGGCTCTTCTCCATTCTCACCTTTGGATTTCCTTGATGGTTTGTAATAGGCATTTTTACCAGTGAATACAGTATTCACTTTTAAGTTCTTTGGTCTTTTTTTATTCTTTATTTATATATACATGAGTAGCCATACCCTATTAGGTGCAGCTCTCATCAAATAACACCAAGAGAAAATTGTCTGATGCTTTGGACTATTGGGATTTTGGGTAATAAATTAATGCCCTCCATAATTTAAAATGGTGCAACTGACAGGGATCATGTGTACATAGTTGTATGTGTTTTTCCGTATAAAGAGTGATGTACCAGATATATGTAAGGAGTGCTTTTTTGATTTAAATCTAAACTTATAGTGCTTTGTTTTATCAGAAAAGAGAAAAACAATCCTAAAATTTCTAGGATTAAAAAAA